AAACGAATACACCTCAGTACAGAGAAGCCCAGAGGAGTAACAGCTCCAGCAGAGAGCATGATCATCTCCAGAATGCCACACATCACCACGAAAAAGTCAAAACGGTTAAAAAGAGACATGAAATACTGTCTCGGGCCCAAGGCGTACATCTTCATGAACATCTCCAGAACAAAGAGCACCAGAAGCACACGACTGGCTACATCTGGAAAGAAAGTTTAACTTATGAGCACACATTATGCTACATTTGATATTCTGTAATAAGTTTTTCTATAACCTTGGAGGTTAGTGAGCCGTTCAGACTGGTGGTGATGCTCTGTTGCAATAGTCAAGGTGTTAAGGAAGACCAGAATCATCACAATCCAGTAAAAAGTCTTGGTTTTCACATAGATGAGACATTTCATTCTGAAGAATCTGTTCCAGCGGCGAGCCAAGCGACTGTAGCAAACAAAGTATATAGTTATACATATTTGAAATCAGATGCATGACATCATAGACATATTATGGTACCTGTGTGGCACTTATAAGGTACTTACTAGTAGTAGATTACTTTACTTTTTCCTTCCAAACCATACAAGCTGTCTGTGTCATCCTCTCCATTGGTCAAAGGCAGGAGTCCTAACAAAAATAAAACATTGCATGTAAACAATTAACAATTTAAAACAAAAATTATATCTTTTGAAAGCTGATAAAGTCCGAAACCCATTAATAAAATTGTCTTTTCAGACCTTTGCCCTCTCGATCAGCATCCAGGACCTCTGCGTGAGTGATCCACTCCATGTATCCGTGAAGGTCCTCATCCAGCTGCTGACGTTCTCGTAACTTCTGAAATTCTCCTCGAGACTTAGCCTTTTCTCGCTCTTTGGTGAACTCTCTAAAAACACATATTTATTATTATTATTATTATTATTATTATTATTATTATTATTATTATTACTAGTAGTAGTAATAGTAGAAGTAGTAGTAGTACAAAAACATGTACAAATAAAGTCAGGCTAAATATTAATCATGTTGTCTTACCCACTGAGTACACCCAAAACTAAATTCAGGACAAAGAATGAGCCGAGCAGTATCAGGGGAACAAAGTAGAGCCATGGCCATTCATTTCCAATGGCATCATTAACCTGAAAGAGGCAGATGACTTTATTGCTCAGGTTTAACATTCACAGCATCCAATTAATCAAGATCATAAAAGATCCATTACACACTAACCCAATAGAGCACTTTGGTCCACCCCTCCATAGTAATACACTGGTAGACCGTTAACATAGCAAATCCAATGTTATCAAAGTGGGTGATGCCGTTGTTAGGACCCTCCCAGCCTGGGCGACACTCAGAGCCATTGATGATGCACCGACGACCGTTACCGGCCTGAGCACAGGGTGCAGGCATCTCTCCTTCAGCAGCAGCGTAGATATCTGAGGATACAAGACACATTTTATTATATATACGTATATACAAAGATTAAGCTATACATTCAATGTGCAAAATAGAAGTCTCAATGTACCAATGTTAGTGTAATAGCAAGTCTTATGCATTTTGCACTTGAACAGCTCCAATCCCATGATGGCGTAAATAGTGACCAAAAGAAAGACCAACAAAGCGATGTGTAGCAGAGGTAACATAGCCTTTAGTATAGAGTTCATCACCACCTGCAGGCCTGATAATGGAAATAATTAAACTCAAACAATAACAAATATATTGTGGTAAAGTCAATCAAATGTCTTACTTGGGACTCCAGAAACTAGTCGAAGTGGCCTCAGCACTCTGAATGCTCTCAGGGCTTTCATATCAAACCCTCCACCTTTCTCCATCGGCACACCTGCAATCTTATTGATGGTGTCTAAGGCAAAGGTGAACAGACTGAATGGGAAAAAAATCAATAATGAGGAATCAAAAATGGGATAAAATTCTGTCAAAGCTGAAATGATAGTGGTGTGGTGGCTTACCCCATAAAGACAATGACAAAGTCCAATATGTTCCAACAGTTCCTTAAATAGGCCCCTTCGTGAAACACTAACCCATATGCCACTATCTTTAGAAAGCACTCAGCAGTGAAGATGACCAGGAATATATACTCAAGACTTTCCTGAAAATACAAAAATTAAATGCTTTAATACATTGTTTGTGATGCAAATGTTGAAAAAGCCCAGTTTGAGTTTGGCAGGGACATGCTCGCTAACAGCTGTTTAATGAAGACTGTGCTGTGACACTTCACAGATGAATGGTTAATGAGTCACAATGATTCATACAGGCTTGCATCTGAAATTGAATTATTGCAATGTTAAAGAACAGTCAGTTAATTGTATCACATTTCTTTAAATATGTACTGGGGGACAATCAGACAGTCACTTTATGTTATGACTATATGTTTATTGCTGGTGATTCTGACCTTCACTCGCACTGTATTCCATGTCACTAAGGAAAATATTTTGTAGCAGACTGTTATGATCAAATGGTTGAATTAGTTATTGTGTGTTGACTACAACTGCTATATGATACTCTGCTCACATCTTTGTGCTCTGTGCAGACACAACAGCTCAATACTGTTTGGACGCTACAACCCATCGACCCCTTAATCAATTCCAACATCTAATGTTAACATTACTCCAAAACAATATATTACATTCAGTCTTGTTGAAATATAACTCTCTTGTTGTTTTAATCACAGTTCTAATAGATCATGATGACAATGGTTTTAGCAGTGAGGGAGTAGCTGAGCAGTTTTACCCACCCCTCCCTGTGTCTTCATGCTGTTGTGAGACGACCTACTTCTAGAAGCAAGGCTCGTGCCCTGTTCCATTTACACTATTCACCTTTGAGAAATAGTACACTAAGTAAGAAGAAGAGTTTATGTCTATGAATAGGTCAACTGAAAAATAAATACCGTGAAAAGTATATTACAAAGTCCTCATCGTTTTAGACTAGATGTAGATGTAGAACTGTACTGTATATGTACAATAAAGATATTCACGTCAGAAGCGTAAATTTAATTAAAGAGTATAGTTTATAGTTGAAACCTGTAGCACATTGTTTTCATAACAATAGGCAACCAACTGCTTGTGCAGTGTTGTTTATACTTGAAACTCACCAAACTGGAGTTGGTGTTATTACTGTCTTCCTCAGGCATGGGCAGGAAAACCGCCAATGCTACACAGTTTGCAAAGATGGTCAATAAGATGATTATTTCAAACGTTCTGTGAGGGAGGGCTCAGGATCATTGTGGAAAATATTGTTGACTTCACAAGAAAATATCAAAATAACAATTAGATTTGTTGCATATATTACACACATGCATTGATGATTTTCTGAAACTCCCAAACTCCTGGCCTAAATTTAGATATGGAACAGTAACAGTCACTTGCGTCTTTATGTTACTTGCCGGGTGCGCTGCCAACTAAGAAAGTAGGGCATTTATTAATCTGGTCTTCTGATGTAGCATGAAATATAATCTCCAAACAGGAGTGATATCAAGGTGCTCAGTCACAGTGCGGTGTAATCCGGCCTGGTGCACTGACTAATTTCTACCTCTAGAGGTCTCTGTGAGAAAATTCCCCTGCCAGGTCAGCATCATGTCTCCCTGTGATGTTGTGGGACAGCTGCAAGACCCAAGAATATGACGGGCCATTTAAACTTTAAACACAGGTGGTTATATAGGAATAGCTAATGGAGTTATCAAAAATATATAGTGATGATGTGTCTGTGCTTTGAACATGACTTACAAATACTTTTCTTTTTACAAGTTAATTTTGTCCTAAATATGTATGTGTTAGAGAATCGCATACCAATGTGATTAAACTACAACCATCATCTCAGTCCTTGTCAAAGAGAAAATAATGTAAAGCATGTGCAGGAGAATCCAAATGATGTGCATAGAAGGATGTCTTCAAAAATTGGCTGTAAATGTACTGTAAGAGCTATAATGACTTCCTTGAAAATGAAAAAGAAAACTGTCCTTGTGCTATATAAGACAAGCCTAATCCGCCATAACACTCCATCACTCACCAAACTGGCATATGGTTATTTGTTCAGATCTACAGTGACAGTAGATCTATGTCAACCAACAATGACACTATATTTCTTATTTAGACTGTGTCAAGTAATACGATAAAAGGACAAACAGATCAGACTAAATACCACTGGTAAGCTTCACACTGATAATATAACTTTGACAAACTATTATTATGAGACCAATTGTTTTACAACTGTTTTGAGGTTTTGAAAGGATACTTCCACTCCACGATGTTGATGCAGGCCTTGCGGAAAGGGTTTTTCAGTGTGAACATAAACAGTGAACGAGCCGGACGAGGGTTGCCTCCTGTAGCTTGGAGCTTTTTCAGTTTTTCCCTTTGCTTCCTCTTCAGCTCCTCTTCATTCATGATAACAGTGGCTGCTTCTGCTGCGGCCGCCATCTTGACGTGAATACCTGAAACAAGTCTCCAATGATAAAGGAATTGATCTTCTTACAGTATATTCCCAAAAAGTGGAAATGTTTTAAAATCCCTTGTTGCAATAGTTAGTTTCCAGACTTCATTGGTACATCCGTTTGGCCCTCTCCCTTCTCCTCTCCATTCAACTTCACTCCGTCCCACAGGCCTCCCCTGCTGCCGGAGGGCCTCTGACAGAAAAAGCCCCCCAAGCACAGTGAAATAACTGCAACCCAGTTGGTCTGCTCTAGTTTAAATTTAGACTGTAAACCACTGACAGGCCATGCTTGGGGTTGGGTTATGGCACTGGAGCAGAAGGTAGAGGAGAAGAAGGGAGCCAGGTGGGGGCTTGGAGTTACAGACAAACAACAACTCCACATAACAGTCTGGATCAAGCTTACTCAACTGAGGCATAAGACCTAATGATTGTTATAAAAATACTGCGTAAACGGAGTTTAACACAATTGTATACTTGCAATGTACTCTAGCCCTACTCTCCCAGCGACAGAAATAATAAAGATGATGTGACAGGAGCTGACACGTGGTAACATGGTAGCAAATAATGAGCAGTTAGAATTCAGTTCAAGAGGTTGTTTCGTTTATTTGAATTTATGGTCAGTGTAAAGACAGAGCAGTGCAAAAGTCCAGTGCAAATGTAGAGATTATCATACATTATTTAAATTATAATAAATGTTCCAACTGACACTAAAGGGGACCATAATACAGCAGTTCAAACTGAGGTATGATTCTAGTGGACCCCATGTCTCCTTATAAATAAAAAACTGAAAAGGTCAGTCAGAAAATTAGGCATTCAAACTTCATGGAAATGTTATATAAGATTATGGAGCATTTAGTTCACTATCTTGGTTACACAAGATTTGAGTTATCTTGTTTAGCTTATTCATAAAAAAAAAATTAAGAGCAATGTATATTCACAAGCTTAAAAATTCCTACCAAATTAACATAAATGTATTGCATTGCTAGTTTCTGAAAAGCTTCGGCATATACAGATGCTTGGCAAATATAATGATGCCTTCATTACATACATATTATATTTGTTAATAAGTGATGTGGTGTTAATGTCAAAAGTCATGCAGCAGATATGCAGCTGGTAAGCTGTGATCTGAAGTTACCTGCTCTAACCCTGGTCTGAGGTACTTATAGGTCTAACTAAGGAGCTTGTGACGATCAAAAACAGTCTTGCGCTGCTCCTGGACCTGTTTCTTCCACCTCTGCTGTGCCCCCTCCACCCTCTCCAGCACAGTGTTCCCTCTGGGCGTTGCAGCTTCAGCCCGTGGGCGCATCTCCTTCAGAAAGCACACAAATTTGTGTTAATAATAATTATATTTATAATAATAATAATAGCAATAATAATAAATACAGCCGCAAGTGGCTGCGACCCGCCCACGCCATGCCCTAACCCTAACCCTGCAAGTCCACCTAATCCCTAAATCTAACCCCTAACCCCTAACCTAACCTTAACTCTAGCCCCAACCCTAAACTTAGCCCTAACTCCAACCATAACCCTAGCCCCAACCTTAACCATAACCTTAACCCTAACCCTAGCGCTAGTCCTAACCCTAGTCCTTGCCCTAATCCTACTCTTAATCATAATATTAACTGTAACCCTAACCGTAACCCAATCCTAGCCCTAGCCCCAACCCTAGCCACAAATATAATTCCAACCCTAACCCTAGCCCTAACCTTAACCCTAGCCCCAACTCTAACCATAACCTTGACCCTAGCCCTAACCCTAGTATTAATCGTAACATTAACTGTAACCCTAGACCTAACCTTAACTGTAACTCAACTCTAGCCATAGACCCAATCCTAACCCTAGTCTTAACCATAACCCTAAACGTAACCCTAACTTTAACCCCGAACCTAACCCCAGCCCTAACTGTAACCACATCCTTAACCGTGACCCTAAACGTAACTCTAACCATAAGCTGACCTGAGCCCTAACACTAGCCCCAACCCTAACCATTGCCCTATCCTAGACTTTACCCTAACCTAACCCTGCCATTTTCAGTTGTTTAATGTGTTGATTTTTTTATTTTTTTTTAAATCCAAGATGACAGACTTCCATTTTGTAAAGTGGTCACAATATTTTTTTTTGTTCCTATTGCCATGATGTATTTGGCTACCAAATTTGGTTTGGCTATGCCATAGTTTGTGTAAGGAAGTCCGATTGGTGAGAACAGATTTTTGGCTTGTTGCTATGACAACATGATGTGAAATGGGGTGTGAGCATCATTGACTTTTTTGTGTTAATGCATAATGTTATTGTTCCATACAAATTGCAAAACATGACTTTTTGGATTGGGATGCCAAAACTGAAATTTGGTCAAAATTTCAGAAATTTTTTTGAATTTTCAGAAATTTCAGAATTTCAGAGAACTGTTGGCAAAATTTTGTCACTTTTCGCCATTGTTCACTGGGTGAAAAATGTAAGTTTGTTGGGGGGAAAAAGAAAAGAAACAATAATATACTGATACAAGAACAATGTTCCGCTTTTTTTTTGTTAACAAGCTATACATTTATGGAAAGCTCAGGCGCATTCCCACATCATGACAAGGGTCTCTGGTCACTACAGGCAGATCACTTTGCGTCAATTCACTTCCTGGCCACTCGTAGCATCACTTTGCCATACTAATCATCCCTTAGCAGCGTCTGGTGCTTTGTCTTAATAAAATTATTGTTATTAATACGTATATGTATATATGTCAAAGGAAAATTAACTCATTGTAACTTTACCTCAGAGTCTTCCTCATTGTGCAGTGGCTGAGTGTATGGGTCTTTTTTACGGATGAGAGGATCCACCAGCAGCAGGAACAGCATGTAAAGAAGAAGTGCACCCACTACACCAAGGTAGATGATGATTGTCACCTGTGAAATAAATATAATTTGAGTAAAAGTTTAGTGCACAAACTATTCTTTTGAATAAAATTTCCATAAAGAGACATTATGTATATAATCTATATTAATCCTGTTCCTTAATGACCAGTTCACAATGGCATACTTTTTAGTCAGTGAATATTTATTATTTATTTTTTCATCTCATTTGAATAGGCCTAGTTATTACAAGGAAGGTAGTCATAAACTCTTAAACAACATTTATTTTTGCAATTTAACAGCTATTATTTAATCCCAATCCAAATACATTTTTACTTTTAGCCATCTTGTTATGATGATCATGTCACATTCTTGCAGTCTATCATAGGTTCAAAATAAATGTGATGTTTCTTAAACCCATACCTTTATAGTGTTGCTGCTTCGTTCCTCATATTTGCACTCACACAATAAACAGTATGCCTCCACATCATGACCAGGAACTGGCATAGGATCCACTATATGCAGGCAGTTACTGTAAAAGCATGAAAAATAATATTCAGAAGCTGAGTTTACATTGTATATAATATTGTAGTAATCAAAACTCTCACCAGTCTTTCTGCGTGACATTTCTGTTGTACACATTGCCCGATATGTTTCTGTATGGGGGGCAGATACACTTGCAGCGAACATCCTCAAAGTTCTAGAAATGAAAGCAAATACGAATGAATAAGTCTTTAAGTACAAACTGTGAAGGATCGGATCTCAGAGTAAGTTAGGTTAAAGGTAAATTAAAGTAGGCCTACCTTAGCTTGTGCAACAACCACCTCATGCAACAGACACAGGATTACAACGGTAGTTATTACGGTATATAAAGGTCTGATGGACAGCATGATGAGGTCTGGCAGAGGAGACGACTAAGTCTACTGACAAGAAGAAGACAAAAAATGTATTAGCCACTGCGACACCTTAAACAGAGGGTAAATGAAGGAAACATGTTAGACTCTATCACACAGTAGGAGGGTTATTACTATTACAACGTACTTATTATATATTTGGTATGTCTTTTGTAAGCTGCATTCAGGTAAATTTGTTTAAATAAGCCGAAGACGAGGATGTTGATTTTCCAAATACTTCCGTGTTGTGGTCATAGACTGTATGTGACGCATGCTCAAACTGAAAAATTGAGTCACATTGCCCTCAAGTGGACAAAAAGTAACATCGCAGTCTTGCTCTTTCATTATTTGAATCCACTCCTGCATAAAATATGTTAAAACCGTAAAAACAGTAACGAGTAGCCTGTGTTATTGGTTGGAGTGTGTATCCACAGATCCACCCAAAGGTCAGTGGTTCAAACTCTATTCACATGGCTGCATACTTTCATTGTGTCCTTGGGCAAGACACTTGTCTCCAATGTTTGTGGATATTGGTGTATGAATGAGAGTGCGAGAGAAATTTGTCCTAGAATTTGAGGTGCTTTTATGCTTTTAAAGATGATATATTAAGCAAAATTCTCTCTTATCAGCTTTAAGCCATGTTAGAATGAGAATTGTTACCTCATCAAAAACATACTTGGAGTTGTGTTGTTTTTCATTACCACGTGTTTGAGTAAACCTTTATTATAAGTCTGCCTATATCTTCAAAGCTCAAAATCCTCTGTTTCACATTATGACATCATGAAGTGGAAGTGCATTTTGTCTTTTGTTTTGTAGAGACTGGCCATTGCAGAGCTGAAAGGATCCAAATGGCTTCAGTGAAGGTGTGTGGAGTTTAAAAGCATAGTGGAGCACTTCTTATATTACCACATGACATAACAAGGTGGAACAGAGTGTTTTCTGTTTGAGAGAAGAACTCACCCTAAATATACAGGGTTTGTGTGTTAAACATGTGTGAATTAAATAAAACAAAAAAAAAACCAGGTATGTTTTTGAGGAGAACATAGATCAGAAAATAGTTTAATATGAGCCCTTTAAACATGCACTGTCCCAACTTAGGCCCCCAAATGACCATTTTCTGTAGCCAATAAAGACTTATAGTTGATAAATATGGATGGTGTTACACTTTTCTGTTTTTCTTTTGTAAATAGACATAAAGAGGGACCATGGTCTAGTAGTCTCATCAGAATAGCCTATATTCCCATATTCCCTCAGTCATCTCTCCTCTCATGTCAAATCTTGTCTCCTGTGGAATCTAAAATGTAAGCCTGAGCCTCTTGACCCAATCAATATCTCTATTTCCTGGTAATCCGGCATTCACTTTCCTCTGTATAGTATGATACTCACACCTTTAATAAGCCATAGAAATCAATGGACCACAAATTCTGCCTCAACCACTTGAGCCGCTGGTCACTGGGATCAATTGAGACCATAGTTATTTTTCTAATGAACTTTGATATGTGCAGGTAGGTACGACTTCATCCTCTGTCTAACCCCAATCATTAACATGACCTTTTCAGCAGGATACATTCAATTCAATTTACTCAGTGTTAGGCATGGAAATTGACTATAGGCCTATTGTTTTGTATTGTTAATATAGACATGTTTTGTTTCGCAATGTACCACTGTCACAATGTTACAAACAAGAGTTTTTTTTATTATTATTATTGTTTATGTTGTTTTAGATATTTAGATATATAAAAATAAACTAAATACATTCATCACCATGCACATCTAGGCCAATATAATATTCAAAACAAATGCTTACACACAAGCCAAATTTCGCCAAGTGCCCTTTTTATGTGTCACCTAAAGCCTATTATAAGTCTTCTCTTATGCATGACTGCCCTTTACACCTTTAGGCCAATTACAGCATCAGTGACACAGAGCAGATCCCCCTGTCTGACCTAATTAGTGGTTCAAAGCTAATATTGAAGACATTAACCTAATACAATAATAAAACTAAGTATATGTCAATTGTTTGGAGTAATAGCCTGCCACACGAGTAATGGATGAGGTGTCATTGACAAACTCCAGTGGGATGCAGCAGACCCCCTATGCATGTGAGATAGCCGTTTCTATAATGGAAGGATGCAGTCTACTTTCTAACAAGCACTCAGGACGTTTTCTTATTTGTCAAGGCACCTGGAAATATTGACTGAATCACATTATTCTGAGCATTCATTTTCATGAAAGTGAAAACAGTGGGCTGTTTGCCCACTAGGAGTTGCTACTCAGTTCAACTAAAGCTTGATAAAAAAAAAAAAAAAATTGAGTGAATTTTAAACAAGATGCAAGCTTAATTGAGTTGATCGTTGAGTACTTTCATGTTTGTATTTCATTTGTGGAGCAGCAATGCCTGGCTCAGGTTGTTTTAATATCTCTGTAAAGTCATACAGCTATATATAGGAAATCTCTTTGTGTCCTTATCCTGCAGTTTCACCCCTCAACCTTTCAACGTGCTTCTTTTTGACCTTTATCACATCATCGGCCGCATCTTTTAGCTCCTCGACCGCTTCCTCCTCCTCTGTATCTTTTGTGGAGGACAAGGCCAGAATAACAAAGCCATCCCTGGGAACGATACGCCTTCTCTTCTTCTCCTCTCCTGCACCAGCCCGCAGTGATGCATTGTGGGCAGCAGGACTATTCTAATAGACACATGTGGTAATTACAGTAGTGGGAGGCAGGCAGCAGACAGTGGTGGTCCAGGGACAACACAAAACTATAAATCACCAGCGCTGGTTCCACCCTCCTGAGCGTAGCCGATCACGCTCAACCAAAAAGCAATTCTGCCAACACGTGTTTGCACATTTGTCTTCATCAGGCCTGGCTTGTTTTGGGCCCTGGCGACTGACTTTTCTCTTCCCATGGTAATCAAACACACACCACTTCTCCTCACATATTAATATCAACAATTAGCCACACTTGAAATGCAGCAAGTTGGAATATTCAATGTAAGCAAAAACAAGATGGTGTTAATACTGCTATGATTAATTAACAGGATGAGCATTTTAGTTAATTGCAGTATTTCATGCATGAATAAGGAATGCTTCCAGAAATCAAAATGAACACAGTGCACAGTGCGTTCTTGATCCAAAAGCACACACCTCATCCCCAATGCAGATACCTATTTTGTCAATTTGGATTCATCTTACCATTAAATAGCTGACTGTATTGACTATATCGCTTGTTTTTATAGATTCATTGAAAAATATGGATTCTTACAGTGAGCACGACACCACTCCACAGATCTGTCAGGTTAGTCTGGTGGCATGACCTGCTTGTCTCCACAGAGATAAGATATGTTTAATGTCATTCTTTGGAATGTTCTAGGAAAAGCAAAAACATCTACATAGGTAGCAGACTCCTACTCCACCAAAAATATATATTGTATTGAATTGTTTGTTTCCATATCTGGTGTTAAATGTTTTACAACTGATGTTTGCCTATCCCTTCCTTGGAACTAGAGAGACCTGCTGGGTGCGTTGTTTGGTAGCAAAAAATTGTTCCTGCTTTCCTATAACATAACAACATACCCAATTTATCTGTGCTTGGGACTAGCACAGACCTCATGACTTATACCCTGTGTGTGGTTGGATTTCTGTCAGCTCAGGTTATGGTGTTCCAGAGGTTTAGAGAGACAGTTTGAGGTGGAGTGTCCAAACAGAGGAGGTGAGAAAAACAAAGGTGACACTACATCTTGGTAAGTGTACAGTGAGTGCTCTGTGATGTGATGGCTCCTGACAGCTGCCCATCATCCAGCTGAGGCCACGCGCACTGAGAGAGAGGTGTGTGAGAGAGGTGAGGGCGGCCCAAGCCCAAACGGAAGCCTCAGAGGGACACTCTTCCTGCGGCAGGAAGCAGAGCGCGCCGGAGCAGAGACTCAGTCAGACAGAACATGAAAGCTGCGGCGGCCATGACACTTGATGGACACACACAGTGAAGACGAGCTGCCTCCTCCTCTCCCTGATCTCCATTCTTCTCATCCAAAAACAGACCTGGGAACCACATGTGCTAAGGAAACTACATTTGCTGCATTTAATCTGTTACTGATAGATAATTTGAATGAACGCCTACTGTCTAATAAGGTATAGGGCTGTGCAGTTCATCACATTTAATACAAGATTAAAATAAGTTTATAAAGACTGTAATTCAAGATTGAGATTCAGTCATTTTAATTGTCAGTGGTACAGTATTTTTAATTGAGAGGAAAACTACCAATCCTCTGTTTGTTAAACAAATGTGGTTTGAAACAGAGTTCAGACCAATTGATTGTTTTAAACGGCATTTATTTAAAAGTATGTATTGTTACTGTTTCAAAAGTCAATACTGCAAGCCATTTTTATACATTTTTAATAGGACACATAAAATAAAATTGTGATTGTACAATATGGGGCTATTAAATGCTTTGTCATCGCCCAAGTAAGGTGTGATATTATTACAGTTTCAGGTTTTTTTTTTGACATTGCTGCAGTTTTTATTGAAGTGAATCGTTTGGATCTTGCCATTTTATCAGATGTGAAATTGTCAAGATATGGCCAGTTTGTATATAAGCAAAAAGAAATCAATGAATTAATACTTACTAATTAATTTATTGTATTGTTCAAATGAATTTGACCCAAGCAATAGAAAGATGATGGTGCTGTAGTCATTGTGACCTAAAGTTGAACTATGACCTTTTATCCATTATGTAATGTCACTGAAGATAGGAGCGTGCCATGGGCCTATCAAAACCATCATGATGTCTTTAGAAACCCTATTGAGCTGGCAGAAAACCACATGAATCTTTCAACAGAAATCAGGGGCCATGAGAGAAGACAGCTGGACACAACTGCTGAAATGAAAGGTGACATGAATTGAAAGGTGGATAAATAGCTGCAGGAGGATACAGGAAGTAGTACGAAGGGCCATGAAAACTTGAATAGCGGCAAAGCAGTGGCTTTAACAAAGCTTGGCAGGCGCAGTCAATATACTTCCAACTTTTAGAGTAGCAAAGGACAATAGAAGTACAAGATCCTTGGAAACAAAACATTGTGCCTCTTGCACCCATGTCATTTTCTCAAACTACAATAAGACCAAAATGATTACAAACTCTGTATCAAGCAGCCCAAGCTCAACAGTCTACTGATGATTGCAAAAAACTTCTCAAAATTAAATTAGCTTTAACTTTGACCTGTTAAGCTACAGCCTTTCATCCCCTACATGTATCAAGCAGTTTTA